CCACTTGATATAGAATTAGATGTGGCTAATCTCCTTCGATTTTAATTATTGTATATATATGGCTTTAGAAACGCGTGTTCTTAATTATACTAGTTTGACTTAGTAAACTTTTATCGCTGAAAAATGGAAGTCTGATTTGATATGCTTTTGCAGTTCAATCTGGAATGTAGTCTAAAAGTGAAAACAAAAGCGGGTGTTCCAGTTGCCGTTTTAAGCACAGGAAGATAAGTCTGAAAGTGGGTCCCTTCCGCAAGTAATGGGTGAAATACATATTAACTGGGAAAGGAAAGAACGAGAGTGTAACTTCCTTAATAGGATTGCTGCATATTGTCTTCGTTTAAAAGACCTCTTTATAACGTTTTCTTACCAAATAACAGTTCAATTAAGAAATGCATGAAGCAACAGGATGATGATTTCGTAAAATACCGTGAAGGAAAAGAAAAACATGTGGAGATATTCTTTGCTTGCATAATGTAAAACTGGCAGCTTATGATGCTAGAAATCATTATCATTCTAACCTCATTTCAAATTAAGAAAGACTGTATTTAGTTATAAGTTATGAATGCTGAAACATTGCAGCAGTAGGCTGAAGATGTGGTCGATAAAATTTTAATGTGAGTAGCTTTCATAAGTTTCTGCATTAGAAAAAACATCCACGTTGTTCTCTGCGATCAGACTATTCATCGAGTATTTTGATGTCGTGTTGATTTGCATGAGTGATTAGTGAATAAAACTGCCATTTTCTGTAATAGTGACATTAATTGTACTTTCAAAGTGTCTCCTTTCTTGTATGTACTTGAACTTTTACATGTATGTGAAGGTCTATCAGTAACATTATTACAGAGATTATTTAGACTTGTTTTATAAGAACATACATATATATGTAATGAAAACAAGAAAAAGACGTAACAATGTTGATGGCGTAGCACGCAGATCCGTAATGAAGAGGAATAATTCTGATTGCTTAAAATACTAAAATGTTGAATTCATAATGACTAAGAAACTTGGCAGTCGAAGTGGATTAAATTCCATTTTTTATTTAAATTAACATTTGTGGCCATAATTCACTTGGTACTCTAAGACTATTTCCAGAACATTTTCATTTTTTATACTAATTGTTGCGACAGGAAGAGAGCACAGCGAAATAGCATCCAAGTGGCAACTAAGAGGTAGTAGCTAAGTACGCAATTATCCAGTATGAAAGATCAGCAAAAGAAATTTTCGGCTTAGGTTGGAAAGGTCTCAGTTCTCAAAATTTTGAGTTCAATTTCCAAATGAGCTGCGTCATCAGGGTTACGCAAGCAAAGACATGACAGTGTTACGCAAGCAAAGCATGAGACGTTTTAATCTAGAAATGGTGCAGTTCAGAAAAGTTATTATTACTTTTTGAATACAGACAGGAAACTTTGTGATAGCTATAATAGCGAAAGAATATTTAGATGATGAAAGAGTATTTAAATAGTGAAAGAGTATTTAGATATGAGTTTAGCTATAATTTCGAATATTAATATTAGAATCTAGATTAGATTTATTAGTGATATTTCCTTCAATCCTTTTTTGAACTATATTGATTGAATTTTTAGTGAAAATGATTTAATACTCAAGCACTTGATGTAGAATTAGAGGTGGCTAATCTCATTCGATTTATTATATGCATATGGCTTTAGAAACGTGTGTTCTTAATTAAACTAATGTGACTTAGTACAATTTTATCGCTGAAAAATAAAAGTCGGATTTGATATGCTTTGAGGAATTAAGAGGTTATTATTAAATTAAATTGTAAATCTGATTTTACATACTTTTTATCTTCGCTTACTTTTTCGTGCTACTAACTATGCCATTATGTAAACTGTGATACTCTATATAAAATTGTGGGGTGCGTATTGTGCCCGTGATGTGTGTGTGATGAAGAATATATTTTTGACAAGTAGTTCGTATCCACCAATAAAAGTTGTATTCAATTCGGCCACTTTTTTCTACAAGTCTTTCCTTCGGGCGTCATCTTTCTAACTACGCAGTAAAGTCTTCCCAGGTTATAATACAGAGAACCATCATCGGTCTTTTTCAGCCTACTCTAAGTCATCTTATTACATATACTATATATGCAAGTAAGAAATATGATGTATATGCAGTGGAATATATGAGATAATTCAAATAATAAAAGGGAAAAAAAAGAAACGAATGTTAGAAAAGAATAAAATTTTCACTCCATTGGGCTTGTCATGACGACTTAGTATATAATAAGCCCTCAGTTAATCATTCTGTTTCTTTTTCTTCCTTTTCTTACTTGTACAACTTTAATGCTTTCCAAATTTAAAATTAAAAAATATCTTACTATATAAATTCACCTTCAAAATTTCAAAATTTCCATCGCTAATGTATATCGCCAATAGCGCCAAACAGGCAAGCATTAGCGTCATTTTTTCCTTTTGAATTAATGTCTTTTGTTCTTCCAATAGAAAGTTCAAAATTTTTGTTCTTTGTTAATTTTTAATATTTATGTAAATATATTATGTTTTAATTTTAATTTTAATATTTGTAAATACTATATATATTGCTTTTGGTTTATTAAGCATTGAATTTATTGCATTTAAATTTGCTTTCGTGTATTCTTATTTCATTTGAAAGGAAGGCAGTGTAGAGGAGACATTTGGAATTTTTCGGATGAACTATTATAATTAAATAATTTAAAATGGTTCACCAGCTAATTTTGGATGAAAAGAAACACAGTGATTTTTCTAGGAGGAGGTCTTCAATTGAATTTGATCTACTTCCTCTTGATAACATTGAATGAGATTTTAATCGTATTCCTTTTCCTATTATTACTTTCATGCATTTCTGTTGTTTTAGGGATTTCTTCTAGTTTAAAAACACTGAGTTGATAGGTTCTTTTTTTTTTGGGGGGGGGGAGGTTCATGGGGTTTTATTGGTTTTAAATTTAATTTCTTTTATGTCTTTGTCGTTTTGGTTCTAAACTTCTCAATATTTTGTATATATATATATAAGAAATTTAGAACGAATTTTCCACGAAGACTAAAACTGAAATTCAAATGAACTTCATAAAACCCCATAAATGTAGAAATAAAACATTTTAAAATGTAAAAATTAAACTAAACCATTACAAAAAAAAAAAAAAAAAAAAAAAAAAAAAAAAGAGAGAGAGAGAACAAGAAAGAAGTGGAATCCAATCAACTTCGACACAATGTCGTCAGGATGAGGTATGTCGAGCTTAATTACAGGTTCCCTTTCCAAACAAAGTCCTTGCTTTTCTGTATCCAGAATTAGCTGATGAACCATTTCAATATATTTTTTAATCTTAATAGTTCACCCGAAAATTCTGGGCCTCTCAAAGCGAAGAAAAATAGCAAAAATACAAAGCAAAATCATTAAAAATGTCTTCCAATTTAAAAAGATTTTTCTAATATAAGAAGAATCTTTAATAAAAATTAAAACTTACCCTTATAATGTAGAAAAAATTAAAATCCTATAGTTAAAAATATCTTTGAAATTTCAAAATAATCTTAACACAAAACTTTGCGAGAACCTCTTATAAAACACCAATGAAAACGAAGGAAAATGGCGAAGAGAAGCAGCAGTCTACCTAGGCCAGGGTGTAGAAAGCAAGTGCGTAGTTATCCAATATGGAAGCTTAATAAGAGAAAGGTTTCGGTTTAAGTTCCGAATTAGCTATGTCATCATAAAAGTCATATGATAGGATTAATCTAGAAATGACGTAGTTCAGAAAAAAAGTTATTCCATTTTTAAAATACAGAGGGTAAGTACTCAATTAAGGGGCTAATTTAAGTTATTATTTCGTTTTAAATATTTTTATCTTTCACACACACACACATATATGCACGCATGTATATATGTATGTATCATTAAATACAAAAGAATGCAATTATGCTTTCAAAGTGCAGATTCAAGTTGTATTCTTTAAAATTTTGATGGAGAACATAAAAAGAAAACCAGACTCGCCAAAAAAGTAGTATATTCTCCAGACGAACATGACAAAACAACTATTTAACTTGGTATTGGAGCTTCCGCTCATATGTCCATCACTGTATTGATTTTAATTGTCGCAAACTATACGAAGGTTTCAAGAAAGGAACGCTGTCTGAAGGAATCTGGCTCGTATTCATGTTTCACGTGGTAAAACTACTAAAGCGTCTATACAGCTATCCCGTTCGAAGGGATTCGGCTCGGATCGAAGTACAAGTGTTGTGGGTCTTATCCATTCAGCCACTGGTGAGCCTTTTTAAACCTACCTTTAAAGAATGAACACTTGCTCATTAAGAGTAGCTCATCAAAAGTAATTTAAGGATCGCCTTCCACAACATTTGCTGATAGCTTTTGGCTTTTTAACAGCACTGTAGCACAACCTTTTCATTCATTAATTGTCTTGAATAATAAAAATGACTTAAAAGCGAAAGCTTCAACCGAAAGTTGATCTACCTAAAATACGATGATTCATCCCCAAAGAATGTCTTTGTGAAAAGCAAAATAGAGTGGCTATTTTTCCATATTTTACAGTATCCCTCAATCAATAATAGTTAATCGAAAGAAAATTCTAATAATTAGCCAAGAATATTGTAATTAAAAGTTAAATTATAAATTTTCTTTGATATTTTCCCGTTTCGACCTAAATAGATACTTTTTGACTTTGCTGAGTGTTAGCGTAAGAAATGATAAAAGCAGGTTCAACTTGTCATTTGATAAATGATAAGTAAGTTAATATGTAGATTTGAATGCTAGATGATAGAATATCGATTAGATTTCTTTGTGATAACTCTAATAAATTCTTTTTTAAAACTATGTGGTGTATCTATTGAAATTGATTACCATTGAACATTTCAGACAGAACTAGAAGCGGCCAGACTTGTTAGATCCGGAAATAGCAGTCATTTTTGTACAATTTCTGAAGGTGACTTTTGAGATGTGAATAGATTTCTGCAAACTCTTTGAAAATGTTAAAGAAATAAAAAAAAAACTTTTTTCAGCCACCCCTCCGCCTCGGATGTGCGATCACTGTCTGAAGGAGAGCCGCGGTCACCTCATCAGCCCCGATTATCCGGACAATTATCCAGCTGGCCTCCGATGTACATACCACTTGCAACGAGTTAAAAGTTTCTGCGGATTAGAGATTTTCTTCCACGACTTCCAGCTGCAGGACAGCCCTGGTTGCTCGAGAGATGCTCTAATAGTGGCTGGAGAACGACTTTGCGGAGATCGTCTGAAAGGGAAAATCAGTAAGCTTATTGTACCCTATATTTATTATTTCCAATGAAATAAAGTTGATCCCGCTTTTGAAGAAATCATACTTGTCAGTGGCAAAAGTTTTATATAGATATATTTATATATATACTAATAAATTTTTCTATATAAGTTTTATATCGATAAATTTATTATTTAAATAAGTACCTCAAATTTCAAAAGCATAAAAAATGAAGCATATTTTGTATTTACTAAAATTGGTTTTTTTAATTATAGAATTGCCAACAGCCTTGATTTTTAATTACAAATTAAAGTTAAGTATTGTAGAAGTTCAGTATATTTGCCAATCTATTTTAAGAAGATAAAATATTCATAATTTCAAGTTTATCAAAACGTAAAAGTTTTTTCTGCAAACAATATTGAGTTTATAACAAGAAAATCTAAGCCTGTTATGGCTTTCAAAGCAAACGTATTTGGAAAAGATAACCTACTGAGAAATTTTCAAACTGAACTTATAAAGAAAAACTTATCTGTCTAAGTGTAAGTTCATTTAAAGCCAAGAAAAAATTACGTTTGTAAAGTTTCCCTCCATAATTTACTTAATTTTTTTAATCCCTACTAAGACAACCAGGCGAGTTATCCTTCCGTCTATGTAAATAACAAATGAGTCTTAAGAAAGTTTAAGCAGCTTTTTACTTCCTTGCAAAAAAGTAAAGGAAGTATTGTAATCGCGAAAACTTTTGGGTACAATATTTTACTGAAAATACGCATTTTGACTATTCCCAAAGCCATTTTAACTATTTTTCCGGTTACATCTGTATATACGGACAAATTAAAGGACTCTTTTTTTTACAAAACGGATTTAAAATGGATTCAAAAGGATTTTTTCACGAGGTTTGTATGTGTATATGTAAGACATAACAAAATATGATAGCTATAATTGGCGACCTCAAAATTAACATTCTAAATTTGGTAATCTGCCCCTAAATTCAGCTCTTCTCACAGGTTCCAGATTTTTCTATCTTACATAAAGTTTTAATGCAGATGCCTCTTGTCCAATCAAACTAATTGTAAACCAAAACTCTGAAGTGAAACTTTTTCGACTCCCACCCTTCTTCTTCTGAAGTTCTATGATACTCTGCCTTTTCCGCATAAGCTCCCCTGCCGGGAAGATGCTTTTCACGTATGCTGCTTACTTGCTTAAAAACGCCGTACTTAATGCAGCTTCTGTGTTCAAATATAATTAGGAAACATCTTGTCTGAAAAAGGATGATTTGATATGCGTAAAAAAAAAATAAAGATTGTGATTGTAATTTTTCTAGATACGCTGTGCTAAATTGCGTCATCATGCTTTACACTCTGCCACTACGGTCTTCTCGGTCATGTACACAGTGTCGTAAGCTGTTAAAAGTTCCAGTGCCTTCATCTACGCATTTTTAAAATCATTACATGTATGTATCTCGCATAACTCAAAACCGATTAGCCGTAGAGCGTATATGGGACTGCTATAAAATCTAGTTGCGTACCTCCGTTTTCTTTTGCAATCGGCAGTACCAAAAGTATATACGTATATATTTGTAAAAAAATATAAAGAATATGTAAAATATTAAATATGTAAGAAAAATAAAATTAGCGCCGTAAATTAATTTCCATTCTCTATTCTAAAAATAGCACTATCTATTTGCACTGCGTCTTCTCGAGCAAAATCTGTCATATGCATGGACCTTATAAGAAATAGATTAACCCAGTGGGCGGGGCGCGCGTCACCCACATGTCGGCAAGAAAGAGTAGGGACGATCTGGTTTACTTTAACACTGAAACCTACGGCGTTTGTATTACATAACTCTTTTTAATTAATAAATGCGGTACATTGTATAGTGATGAGATTATGAAAGCCACAGTTTTTTCCAAATAGGAGTTAATATATCTCATTAAAGCACTTTTTACTGCATTTCGCGCATTTTTTTCACGCGTAATTCTTGTACAAACATCTTTACTTTGGTAAAACGGTAAAAACTCTAAGCACAAAATTTATGAACGTAATTTTGAGTAAAAATAAAGTAAAATTAAATAAGATTGATAGTACGCGATGCTTTGAAATAAATAAGGTAAAATTAAACAAGATCTGATAATTTTTTTTAATTTAATGAACATTTTCAGGCAGTGATTTTCCAAACTATAATAACATTACAAAACGATCATATTTATTTGATTATATGATCATTAAATTAGTAAGATTAAAGTGGATTAGTTATTTTAATAATTCATAAAATTCGGGGCATAAAATTTTCTGAGCGTAATGAAGGGAAAAAGAATATAAAATAAAACCTAGAAGCACTCAGATTTTATACTACGCCTAAAAGGAGCTTTCTTTAAAGATTTGCGTGCTACGTATATTTATTGAATATCATGTTCTTCGCCCGTAAACCACATACATTTGGAAACAGCATATCTTTAGAATTTCCGCATTGGAGATAAAACTGTTATTTTCCGCACGGTGCTCGCTCTGAACTCGTTGAGTTTGTTAATAAAAATTCGTTAAAGTTTTACAAAATATTAAATAGATTAAAACAAATTCGAAATTCGACCGTCCAGATGCCCATGTTCGGTGGAGGATTACATTATTCAAAATTTGCAGTCGTTTTTGTGGCAGTGTGAGAAACATACATGTAGTCATGCAGATTCTTCATTATTTAATTTCTTTACATATAATACAGGGCGATAATATTTGGTAACATCAATTTCAAAGGAGACACGGACATTTATAGTGAAACAGCGCAAAATGCCGCTTCGAAACTAACAGCCTTTCTAGGCTACCGCCCCTTTACACTAATAAATTAATTAACAGTAAATAAAAAAAAATCTTATGCGGAACTAAAAAGAAATTTTAAAAAATAATCACTAGAAAATACAAGCAAAATTAATTATTACGGTTAAATACAATTTTAATATTAGAACAAATTAAATACTATTATTAAGTGTTTATAGTTAAGGTGCAGGTTTATTTTGCAGGTTTAAGTTAAGAGTCAAAAGTGTTTGTCACTATGATGTATTATGAAATATAATTGAAATAAAATTCCTTTATGGAAATTGTGCTATAATACTCATCTATAATTTTAAAAAAGCAGCACAATTTAGAATTTTAAACAAAACTTTCAAAAATTCGTTTTTAACTATTTTAGTATTTTTTCTTATTTACACAAATAAAAAGCATAAAATTGCAAGAGAAAATTGCTTGTTTGAAATTTTCTATTAGTTCATATTTAAAATATTATTTTCTAAAAGAAGTAGTTACAAATTTCCTTACAGCATAGGAAAAGCTAAAAAAATATCCAGTCCTGAAAGCTTTATAATTATTTGGAACGTTAATTATGCTTGATAAATATGCTAAATTTTTAAAAATCAATCTCAATTTCAAAAATAAAAATATGTAGAGATTCTAATTTGTGAAATGAGGCGCTACAACCAGCATTTTCTTGACAATAATTATATACGCTGCAATAGGCAACCAATGTTAAATTTCTGTAAGTCGTCCCTACTCCTCCGGATGTGATCAAGGTGACAGCCGGCAACGCCTCAGACGAGGGAGAAAACCCATTTGGGATAGTGTATTTCTTATAAGGTCCATGGTCATATGGTTCTTACGTAATTCTGGTGATGTAAATTAAACTAAAACTCAAGCAACCAATAATAATTTTACAGTAATATTAACTATCCAATCAAAATGCTTTGAGAACCAAAACTAACTCAGTTTGACTTAAGATTTCCTCCTGAACATTATGCACTTGCTTTCCACGCTTTGGCCAAGCTAGATTGCCGTCTGTCTGCTGCTGCTTTCTTGCTACAAAGTTATCAAAAATGTAAACTTTTTGGAATAGGCACAATTAATGTGCCAACTTAAATTCTTTCATGCACGTAAACTTCCTCCTCCTGCTTCTGAATATATTGCAATTGAGTCGACAGGACACATGTCCTGTGCGTTGAAATTCCAGTGGGAATGTCTGCAATAACCAATCATCGCTTCAAACTCCCATGTGTAAAGGAAATTCATAATGGATATCGAGTACCTACAAGTCTAAAAGTGTTAACGTCGGTAAAAAACGAAGTGTGCGGTAATCTGTTATATAATTAGAAAAAAAGTGTTTTAAATCATCAAACTGTACCTGTTCTTCACATAAGTGTTATTATCCAAATTGTGGTTATTACTGTGAAAGCGAATTAGTTAATTAATTCCTTCATGTTATAATCTTCAAGATATCTTCGGCTCCGTCAATCTATGTGCGCAACCTGGAATCAGCAAGTCGTGTTGAAAGTTTTATGTGTTTTAAGTCAAAATCCCTTCTTCGAAATTTAATCTAGCATATACGGTGATTTAATAAGTGCAACATCGTAACTGAACAGCGATATGAAAATGTGAAAAAAAAATTGAATAATAGATTTGCTGCGAGTGCTTAAAAATGAAATCTAGTGCCAGCCTTTCAAAATTAATTCATCTTTTGTTTACAGTAAAATGCAGAATGTTTTCCGAGTGCTAACGTTTCAAATCATTCCAGTGCTTTCAAGGTCATCGAACTGCATATCTTGATCCGGTTCTTATGCGAATAAATTCGTAGTTATGGAATTAAATTTACACTTAAAAGTAGGTGCCAGAAAATTATTTTCGCTTCTGCTTTTGCGCAACTGAATCTACATTGGAATGAATTTTTCTTGGATTTCCCAAAAATTAATATTTTTTAACAAAAAAAAAAAAAAAAAAAAAAAAAAAAAAAAAAAAAAAAAAAACTTAAATATGTAAATATTAAAAAATGTAACACTAATTAATGTGATGATGAAAAAAAATATAATTTAATGAATTATAGTAATTTTAATTAGATTCTTAATTTAAGAAAAGTATAATTTAAGTATTAGTTTGAATTCTATAGATTAAGTTTCTTAGATTTTTACTTATTTTTAGAGAAGGCTATTAAGATAAGTTTTTATATTTTTGAATTATTGTGGAATATATTAGTGCAGTTCTCTTACCTTATGCAAGGAACGAAGGTCTTTTCAAGTAACTGCCTAGGCACCCTGAGCCACCAGTGCAGAGAACACACTGGTTAGCTCAAGAGGACAGCCCTATTGATGGATATGCTTGTTTAGAAGTATTGCGAGGCCTTCAATTACTCCTATTATATGGTGTTAAAATATAATTTATCAATATGGAAATTAGTACCATAAATATTTATGTGCGTTACATTTAATTATAAGTAAACTTTTACATAATCATTTATGTAAAAGTTTATTTTGTTATATTCTGTGATAACAAGATAACAAGAAACTTCCCTGAAGAATTATGATTATGTGAACTCTCAAAAAGACTTTTGGACTGAAATGCTGAAAAATTCAATAGGACTCTATAAATTAAAATAATCCTAAATATATTTAAAAAATTGATATTTATAAATTATACTTTACAGGATCAAAATTTTATGATTTATGTTTTTATTCTTATTATTATTTGCTAGTGCTTTAACGCTTTTTCTTTAAAACGGCTTCTCAGTCGCTACGCCTTTTTCTTCTTGAAGGGGGAATATAATAAAATGCAAATCAAAATTATAATTTAAAATGTCTCTTAATTGCTCATTTTTAATTTGGCCACTTTGTCTCTAGTAATAACTTTCTCTAAACTGCGTCATATCTGAAAACGTTTTCCGCATTATGTCATCTTGAAACTTCTGCATTGCGTATAAGTTTTAGCCAATCAGATTAACGAAATATTTTACTATAAAATACAGTAAGACATCGCTTAACGCAGGGGATACGTTCCATCAAAGTAGAGCGTAATGCGAAACAGCGCTAAACGAGGCTATCTTTACATGTAAATATTGGGGTTAGGGGAAGATGGCTAGGAAATTGGTTAGGTATTAAATTTAAAAAGTATGTTTTTTTAATAAAAATAAAACCAAACATTTATTTCTTAAAGCCCAAATTAATACCACATTATTATTTCTTGCAAAAATAAAAACAAAATATAAATAACAAAAAAACGAATATTCTTAAAAAAAAACAAATAAAATTCTCAGTCAGTCATATTTAGTTAGCCTTCCGCGTTTTCAGTGTTCTGCCTTTTTGTGACAAAAGCATCTAATGTTGTTTGCCTTTTTCTTTTGCGTTGTTCTCTTAAAAGTTCTTCATAAACGGATAGAGCATCTCTAACCCGCCGCTCCTGTCAAAATTCGGATCATTTTCAATGAATTGATTCATTATTTCAGTTATGGTAGACAAACTCCTTTTTACAAACGCCATCGAAAGTTCTTTTTGCTGAATCACTGCTGTCAACATTTTTGTTTCTTATTGTTCAGTTAATTCCTTGAGCTCATCATTAGAAAAACTAGCCGCTGCTTCTTGAATTATTTCTTCGACATCTTCCACATTTACCCCTTCAAAATATGTCTGTACAATACCGCACCAAACAAGAAATACAAGTACACTCTTTCGGATATGTATTTGAAACCTATCGCTGCATAATATTTCGGGAAATCCCCGTATGCTGCGAGCGATTTCGTGGAATCCCCGGGTTGAAATAAAAGAGCGCTAAACCGAAACAGCGCGAAACGAAACAGCGTTAAGCGGGGTCTTACTGTATCGTGACAATCCTACTCCCTCCCTCTTTCTCTGCTTGTGCTTGCTGACTGAAGGAAGGCTTTTGCTTTTCTGCTTTGGTTAAAAATGTAATGCGCCACAGTTGTAATATATTCAAACTCAGAAGCAATGACCAGGAAATTGGAGGCGAAGGTAGATTAAATCTTCAGTTTTATTTTCAGCAACATGTTGCGGCTACACACAAGTCGGCACATTAAATGTGCCTGTTCCAAAAGACTTACATTATTGATAACTTTGTAGCAAGAAAGCAGCAGCAGACAGGCGGCAATCTAGCTAGGCCAAAGCGTGGAAAGCAAGTGCGTAATGTTCAGGATGAAATCTTAAGTCAAACTGAGTTAGTTTAGGTTCTCAAAGCATTTTGATTGGAGAGTTAATATGGCTGAAAATTATTATTGGCTGCTTTAGTTCAATTTACATCACTAGAATTACGTAAGAGTCATATGACATAGATTTTGCTCTAGAAGACGCAGTGCAAATATATGGTGCTATTTTTAGAATAGAGAAGGGAAAGTAATTTACAGTGCTAATTTTATTTTTCTTACATATTTAATCTTTTACATATTCTTTATTTTTCTTACATCTATATATATACATACAGACACACACTCCCTTTACTCTGCTTAAAAGTCCTTTATCGGCCTTTATTTTCGCAATCCTTGGTCGTAGTCATATACTTCCAACTACAGAAGTGTATTAAAATATTATGTTTAGGAAATATTCATGTTTAGGAAGATTTCATATTAAAAATAATATTATTAATTTTGGACGAATAACGAAATCTAACTTTTAAATATGGTCTCCCGGTACGAAAAGAAAGAAATGTAAAACAGCAAGGGCTTTCGATGTTACAGAGAGGATAGTAAGAGACTGGAGAAAGAATGAAGATACTATTCAAAAATGCCAATGAAAATATGATATGGGAGGACAGGAATAACTTGCTGGCCATATTTAGGGGGAAAACAACGTTGCAGTATTAATGCAGGATCAGAGGCATAATTGTTATGTTGTTATAAGAAATATGATTAGGGCTTACGCATTGAAGTAGACCCGGGCCAGTCCAGAACAAGACAAAGAATATAAAGCAATATTAGGTTGGCGCAATCGTTTCATGAACGGAAAAAAAGCTAGTAATACGACAGAAAACCCAAACTGTGCAGAAGTTACCAACTCGATAAGGAATACAATTGTGGAAACAAAAAGGGTAAAAACTGTTCCAAGTCAGAAGTATAGGCCATGAAAAGACCGAGTTTCCAGTAGTAAATAACAAGCATGGCAGATGGAAGAAAGTTAAAACTCACGGTCATTTTCAAGAGGAAAACTTCTCCTAAAATAAAACTCCCGACAGGCATTTTCGTGCATTTTCATGAAAAGGAGTAGATGGACAAGAGTGGTGTACAATTGTGGATGGAAAATGTGTGGCAGAGGCGACCAGTACTCTATGAAATCAGCACGTTTATTGATGTGGGATATGTTTCGCAGTTACGTTACAGGGTATTTTCTCCCTCTTTTCTACATGCCTTCGTGGTGTAACGGTAGCATACTCGTCACGTATTCGAGAGGTTCAGGTTCGAGTCCCGGTGAGGGCATTGCTCATTTTCGTGTTTCCTGCTTCAAAAGTCCTAATGACTTTACAACGTAACTGAGAATACTAAATACCGCTTAGCAAGAAACAGTACTAATATTGCTGTTATTCCGCATAGCTTAACTTCGATGCTACAAACTTTAGTCGTCTCTCTGAATAAACTATTCAAAGATCAGATGTGTGAACAATGGAATAACCGGATGATGACTCTTTGAAAAAGAGATTTATTCAAAGATCACATGCGTGAACAATGGAATAACCGGATAATGAATGTCGAAAGGATTTTAAATACATTTTAGATTGATTTTTTTAAAATTTTATAATGGTTTTAATTTTTATAAATTTCAATTGAATTTTTTTTTGTGTCTGTTCTATAAGAGGACCCCGGATTCTGGGAGCCTCTTTGTCTGATTAAACTATCGTCTTATCTGCGGAATTATACGGTAATTTGTATTGCATCATTAATGGAATAAAAGCTATTTTTTAATATACAAATCAAATTTTGAGATCCATATTGCTTTAACTATGATTATTTATGGCAGTGTTTGTCAACGCTTTTAGTCAAATATTACCCTCTCACAATGCGACAAAATGCCATTCCTTTCATTTTCTGATTGAAGTAATGCATTCCAAGTAATGCTTTAAACTGAAACTATTTAATTTTGATATACAAAATGTTTTAAAAAGATGACAAATTTTGGCACGAAAATGCAGCGAAAAAGCTACATAGTTGAAATAGATTTTATGACAATGATAAGTACAGATGATGCTATTACGTACGTGCATACCACTGAAAAGTTGTATTGTTTTATAGTTTGAAGATGACTTCTAATGAGCGACGACCATTCGATGACAGACATCTTTCAATTAGTTCTTCATTTGTAGTAGGTCGTCTGGCAACTCTATGAAGATTTTTTTTTTTGTCGAATAATTTTCCTAGCCAGTGATATGTTTTGATATCCGAGATCCCCTGGCTTGACTGTTTCTGATTTTGTTTCCTTATAGCATCACGTTAAAGGTACTACAGTCGGCCCGTTATAATTAAAGAACTGGAAAGAAAAAGATCCATAAGAAATTGCTCACATTCTGTGGACGTGTTACATCGAATAATGTAGGATGTTCTACCGTGACGGCAGAAAATTTTGCGGGGAAATGATCACCCTATTTAAAATTTCTCATACAGACTAATAAAATGTTTCTACAGGTACCAGTGTAATTTTGAAGGTTTGTTTTCACCTCTACTTGTTTTTCATGCTGTTATCAATACAATCCTTTCGATCCTCCTATACCCTATAGAATCTTATTGATATTCATATAGCCAATTTCAATGTCACTAGAACTTTCTGCTGTTTTTTGTTTGTTTGTTTTATAGTAACCTTTACTGTTTTTTACTGCGTGCTGGTACGAGTAGGATCAAAATGGATAATTACTGGTAGCCATTTTGGTAATGGATACAATTAAAAAATGTGATTTTATATTATTTTACGTAATATACGTCTTCCAGTAATTTTACGTAATATAAATAGATAATGAGATATTTGTATATGTAGTCTTGACAAATTACGTACACATATGGTAAGAAAAATTCATGTTTAATTAATATTACTTCTCTATAGTATTAAAGTATTGTCATAATTGCATTCTCTCTTGTTCTGTTTCTAGAAAAACTTGATTTTCCAATTGGCGAGCCTAATGAAGTGGTCCTGCAGTTTGAAACAGATGACGAAGGTTCCGGGCAAGGTTTTCATGCAGAATATCGGCAGATTGCATGCAGAGGCTACCCTTGGCGACAGGGACGTTCCCAGTGGACACCTTCTAATGCGTCAGACTGGACAGCGGGCGACTGAAGCCTTTTCTGTTGTTCCCAGTGGAAACATTCTTTATTCGGGTTGTTGGAATCAGGGTTCGGCGGGTGCCTCCTAATTTCAAATAACTCGGAAGGACTGACTGATAAATAAGGAACATATCTTGCAGAAAAGCTAACTGCATATCACCATTCAAACTTCTAATCATTTCTAGTGTTGTTGTTCATTTACGTGCAATTTCAATACTCTTGCTACATGTATACATCTATTAATTTATTTCGAATATCATTTTGAGTACGACTGTGGGAAACTATATTCTAAGGGAGAGACAGAAAATATTTACTTTGCTTCCAGTTGCGGAAAATATATGTCAACAACTCGAAATTGCTTTCAAAGTGGAGGTTGCCTGATTCTGGTTTCGAGATTTAACTCATGAACTAATTTTGAAAATAATAAATTTACATCGTTCTGTTTGAACAAACGTATTTTAAGCAATCAAGACATTTGAAAGAAAAATTCGAAAACATATTTATGACTTTCATTTGGAAAACAAATGTATTTTTCCTACTATCAAGATAGAGCAATTCATATTTTGTTTGGAATTTATATTGAATGTGGTGTAAGTATGAAATTAAATTATATGTATTTGATAGTTATGTTATATTTACATTGTCCGCTGTGCGGAATTGGTTGTTCTGAAGCTCTAAATATCTCAACAATAAAATTTATATTTATTAATACTTAAGTTTTTATTTATTTATTTATTTATTTATTGTGCAAATTTCGGAAACATGACTCGGGATTAGACTTTTCTCAAAGTTTTTGCAAAAAGCATCATTAAGCTTGTTAAAGAGAAATATTTTAATTCTTACTTATAACTGCCTTAACTTAATTAATGCAGTATGCTTATTATAAGCACAATTTACTTTTGTTCAAATTATTGTGTAAAGTAAGAGACTTTAAGAGAAAATTTTTAATCAATTTTTATGGAAGATATTTTTTCCTCCTTTCTGCATGCCTTCTGGATATAACTGGAAGCACGCTCGACGCGTATTAGGAAGGTCCAGAGTTCGAATTCCTACGAGGGCATGGCAAATTTCATTGATTTCTTTGCTTCGACTTGTACTCTAGTAGCACCCAAACTAAAAGGTGAGGTACAAATAATTCATCACCATCAAGATTTGGTAATTAGTTTCCCTAATCCCCAGTCGCCCTTTAAAAGGAGGAGTATATAAAAGGTATTTTCTCCCTTCTTTCCACGTGCTTTCGTGGTGCAACTGAAAGCACGCGTATTCACGTGGAAGCACGTACGTTCGACGCGTATTCGGGAGGTCCAGAGTTAGAATTCCAGGAAGTACACTGCACATTTTTCACGTTCCTGCAACAATTTAACCTAACTGTTCTGCATCTGTCTTAAGCAAATTAGAATTGCTATCAAAGAAATACGAGCTTCATCATCTGACGACTATTCAATTTTCAAACTTTGTAGAATCCGAAAATTCTAATTATCATTTTGAATGATTCTGTATTTAATACCTAATTTTACCAGCATTTTTTTTCTCGTGCGGAAATATTCGTGCAAAAACTTAAATGTCTAGCAAATATTATAGCACTCTAGTAATCTCAAACATGCAGCCTCCTCGAAACAATGTTTTAACAATGCTGTCCAATATTCGGCCCTTACAATGCAAGAAATAATTGCGTTTCCTTGTACGTTCTTTTTGTAGTGTAAGATGTTAGCAAATCCAGCTAGCAGATTCGATTGATAATTGCAATTCGCAAAAGTGTAACTGATTTTTAATGCTCATCTAAGTGTTCTCTACCAATTTTTACTAGACATCAGGATGCACTCATTATATAAGTATGCAGGAATACTTTTATAGGGGCTAAGTCCAGCAGCTACGAAATCGATTTCTCATTTCCAGTTCGAATTACGTATTTTCCAATTTCTAGTTAGACGTGCAAACCACCTACACCACGAAAGAACGAGATAAATCCTTTCCATATACTCTCGACGTAGAAACGGAGCTTTAAAGTTTTCGGAGTTAAAAGAGTGAAAATTTAATCGTTACGTCGATCAGATTTGAACCACAGCTATTCCATTTGCTACCTGTGTGTAATTATCATTTACACCGCAAGATTATGCACGGATAATAACAATAATACTTTTTTTCAACTGTTAGAATTTCTTCTTGTGGTTTCTATGCATATTTACCTAAATTTCACATCTTTCGGATATTTCTCGGAAGTAACAAATTACCTAACATTTGATTTTTAATGTAAAGAAACACAATAATACATTGCGAAAGAGAAAGTTAAAGATGTTTAAATGTGTCAGTTAAAGATGTTTGTAAATGATGTTAGTTAAAGATATTTGTAATTGCATTAAGTTAGGCAGAAAAATATTATAGTTCTATTAAGTTTCCTATTGGTCATTAAATAATTATAAAGTTTGACTTTGCTAGCATAAACTAAGTCCAAACTCCTAACAGACTTGGAGCGAATTCATCTGAACAGAACTACAGAGTCTTACTAAGGTTTAACCAACCGTTTCATTAAATCAGAACTGGAACATAAATGCACGACTCGTGATTGCAAATCAGCCAACCACTTGTGGCAATGTAATCTAAAGTAACAGCAAATTCAACTCAAGTCTAGTAGCAAAGGGCTGCACAAACGATTTAACGCAAAGTTGACTCAAAACATTTTACCAGCATACAATTTTAAATATTGGCAACTGTAATGCAATCCGAAGAATGAAATCTTAACCGAGCTATCTAACCTAGAAACGTGGATCTGAGAGGCAGAAACATGCTCTGTCTTACAATCCGAAAATCTCACGTTATATACTACCGAACTAATTTACATTCTGGTAAGAAAACAGAAGAGAGAAGTGATATTACAGATCTAAATCAGAAAATAAGTTTTTATTTAAAATAACAGGAACTCTACATAATTAATGTGAAGGTAAATTTTTAAATGTAAACTGAGATACAAGTAACTTTAATTACGAAAACCATTTTTTCTCGTCGAAATTGTTTTCTCCTAAATATTTATGTCTTCGACTAATGGTAACTGCATTCTTCAGTAGAAGAGTACATATTGTAAAAATTACAATACTCTCTTTCTAAATTTATTACAATTAATTTAATATCGAAAATATGTAGATAATTATCAATTATTCAATTTATAATTCTTTAAGCTTCAATGCTGGTGTTAGTATCATCCCAAAAGTCGCATATTCCAAATTCAAATGTGAAAAAGTTCGTAAAACGTTTTTGATAATATATTTATAATAACGGTAAAAATATCTCTAAAGAAGAAAATACAAAATATGTCAATCTGCTTTAAAACGCTCATTCTGGTTAACTAGAGAAATTTTAAAGGTGAAGCATTTCGCGAATAAAATAATTGCATATGTACAGAACCTTTGGATATAAAAAGGCCAAATAAGCAAAACATTTCTGATAACAAATGGTAAGCAAAATTTTTGTAAAAGAATACATGATTAAAAACGTAAAAACGCAAAAGAGTGTTCACTGGTGAGCCAAGAAGATGAGACGCAAGTACACTCGTGTGCAAAATTAAGAGAATTTGCCCATTATGCCGAATTTCAGTAAAACTAATGGACAGATTTTAATGAAATTTTGACATGAATATGCATTTATAACAGAGAATGAGATGTGCGATTCAAAAGTCATTTTATGTACGCATCATTGTCGTTAAAGTTCACAGTGCAGGGATATTCAAAATCCATGTTGTGATATCGATTTTCAAATGAGTCTAATAAGTGGTATGGTCCCCTCTCACAGCCGGACATGTCGCGCAGCATGAAGACATATTGGACAGGAGGCAGTTGAGGAGTCCCTGTGGCTGTCGATCCCACTCGTGCAGTAAGTCAATTTCCAACTTCGAGATGATTCTCGAAGAGGGATGGCGATATGAAATTGTCCTCCCAAGAGTGTCCTAGGCAAGTCTATATGGTCAGGAGATCTGGCTGGCCAAACCATGCGGTAAATATCCTTACTTTCCATTACTTCTTTACTTCCAAACTAGTCCATCCTAACGCTTTTAAATCCCTAATACCTTAACTTTTCGTGTCTCGTTACTATTTATTTCAGCAGATGGAGCTATGTTCTTGTTCACTTTGCTCATATATAACATCTTATCACATAAATAAGGTTGCTGCACCTCCCATCTTTGCATCCCGCGTGATCCCTCTATTTCGCGCTGTTTTCCGGTTAGACCACCTGCTGCTGTTAAAATTATCTGGAAAGGAGAATGATCTTCTACCTAGCATAAATGCAAAACAAGTTGACAGTTTTCTACATTACGCGTTTCTAAAAAATAATTTTAATAGCCTTGTAATGTTGCGCGCTTCCAACCTGCACGCAACAATAGTGGTGACTGCTAAGAACTGGAAAGTAGACAAAGTCTTGAGAAGGGTTTAAATCCCTTTTTATTCAACTTTAGAAATTACAAATGCGTGCTCTTGACGCTCACAAACTACGCCGACCCGACGGTAAAATAAAAATAAGAAACTAAAAAGAGATAATAACATGTGACTAACTACGAGGCTCTCTAAACGTAACTAACCTCACCGCGTTCTAAAATACCGCTGATAATTTAGCAAACTTCTGACTATTACGTTGAAAGATTAACAATCTGCCGAGGCAAGCACACAGGCCGAAACGCGTGGTTCTTCAATTTCTAACTAGCCACCTCCACGCTCGTGAAGCAAGAAAGCACACTTTCGAACTCGTTTCCCTTCTATTTAACTCAGATTACTTCCGCTGACAATTTGAATCCTTGCGCGTTCTACTAAAATTTACATACTCTGGCATTGGCAATTCCAGGGGCAAGTAAGGCTTGACAGGAAAGATAGTTTAAACTTAAAATAAATGTTAGTTAAAATAAATATAAACCCTAAAACCTCATGAAGCTCTGCTCTTGTTTTTGTACAGAAAGATCACTAATGTCAAGAATATCAATTGTCCGTAACTGGGAAACTGATTCATTCAGTGGTAATAAATAGGTAATCATTAACGATGTATTTCTTCAGACAAAGCTTTTGTCATTTGATCCATCAAGGTTCATTCCAGTTTATTCTCAATAGTGAGAGTCCAGACGATAGCATCTTAAAACCACCTGCTATTAATTTTCCTGTTACGTCAGCGTCAATATTCACCTCAGTCGGATCTTGATTGCTATCAACAACAGGAATATCATTATCTTAAAGTTCTTTCTCACAAAATTTATGGTCTTGGCACAATCTTGCAGATAATTGGCTGATTTAAAACTTTAAAAATACAATTATAAGTTCTGTCAGTGCTGGTTAAAATTAATTCAAATACCTTATCGACTTCTGTCGTGTTTACACACTCCTGTGATATTTCCCGCAAAAAATTAACGTAGAAGGTATATATAATCCTGAGCTTCATATCCCATCTCTTTAGAAATGTCTGGCAGTAAATAAGAAAACTGAGACGCATAATCATTCATTATTCTTGCTTTTCGCCTTTTGACTTTCTATATCTAAGGATTACCATCAACGTTTGCAGCATTAAAGATTGCGACACATTGGCAAACGTTTTGTGTTTTTTATGTCTTTTTTAAAGTTTTTTTTTTTTTTTTTTTTTTTTTTTTTTTACATATTAGCAAACGTTTGTTCTCTTCCATCTCTGTACCTTTTTTTTAGGAAACTGAAAAGGTACTTTTTGATAAACACTTCGACATAGCA